AATTATTATTTAGGGTTTTTGTTTTGTAAAATAAATTATTTGTACAGATAATTTTTTTCTCGATAACGGTCGCAGATACGAAAAAAGTTTAAAAATAAAAAAAGTTTCTAAACAAAACAAAAGATATTTAGCTCAAATTTTGAATCTAGATTGCTTTATAGGGCACACATTATTGGGTATATTAGATGGTTGTTGAATTCTACAGGGTTGATATTTTTTCAGGAGTTATGTACCCTTTTTTCCCCCCCGAACTTTTTTGCTGTGCGCCGCTGGTAGATTCTAAAATACAAAATTAATTGTCTGTTTTGTTTAGAAACTTTTTTTATTTTTTCACTTTTTTCGTTTCTGTGACCGTTATCGAGAAAAAAAATTAAAAATGATTATCTGTACAAATGATTTATTTTACAAAACAAAAACCCTAAATAATAATTATTAAATTACATTATAATAAATGTTGAAAGTGCCCCCCTCCTACTCAAATTATACTCTATACCCTACAACCTATCCCTAATTTGAGCTAAATATCTCAAAAACCGCAGAAGCTCTAAAAAATAAACAAAAAAAAATCTTAAAATTTCAACACCCTGTAAATCTAACGAAGCATTTACAGACCCACATTTATATGAACTTTTATGTACACGATGTTTAGGAACATCCTGTATATCGCATACAGGGTGGTCAAAAACATTCGTTTGTAATCTCCACTAAAGTTGCCCCACGAAATTCATGCACTCGCTAATACAGAGTGGGAGAAAAATAAATATTTCGTACAAGATAAATTCGTAAAAAAAATTTTAAGCGTGTGCAGGTAAATGGGCTGGCTTAAAAATGGCCGGGAATAAATTTTCTTTTAGCGGTCGCATTAGCCCCCTTCTCCCCCCTAGCGCTTTTATTACCCTTTTGTATATTTAATACCTTTTGTTTTACAAACGGAAAAGAGCTGTTAAGTTTTTCTCGGGGCTATTTTAATGCCCAAGCTTAAAGCGCTCGGGTTTTTTCTTTCCCGTCCACGACCAAAACAGGATATTAACGTGAGGACTCGTTGTAAATATACAAAGGAAATAAATCGAGCTCGGTTCTTTTCGCTAATTTTTATCGTTCTATTCTCGCGTAGATACTCGAATTTGCGTGAGCTTTATTGCAGTACATCGAGCGCTGGAAAATGACGGTTTTTTTCGGTAGGAAAAGCTCGAAAGGGAAATCCCTTTCGTATCAAACGAAACTACACGACCCTAATAACCTGCTTGCTTCGTGTAAAATAACATGGAAAGTTTATTACACCCTTCCTCGGAGACTTTTACCGCGACAACAGAACTACCCCTAAAATACACCCTCGCATAATACTCCTGCGATTACGGTCCCCCAAAACGGCTCGAGAAATATGTTTCGCTTTTTTTTCGACATTTTTTGACCTGCAAAAGGGTCGTTTTATCCCCCAAAAATTACCTACAGGAGCTTCACGTTCTAAGATAATTCAATAAAACATCCAGGGGAAATAAATACAATATTTTTGATTGTACCCCGTATATTCGGTTAAGTGAAAGCGCGTAGATAATGGCGAAATGCCCGAAGGAAAAAAGGCAGGTTTCCCATTGCGGGATTTCGAACACGGGACTCGAATTCCGGGAAAATCAGGAACGAATCACTCCTGCTAGGGATTTTTCCCTATACCGCTCCGACACAAAGCTTGATGGATGAGTTCGAACCGAACGGCCCTTTCCGAAATCGCTCCGGGTAAAATTTCCCCGTACACACCAGTAATTATTAGTCCGACTTCTCCCCCGAACGAATCCCACTTCTGCAACGTCGTAACGTCCCACTTCTGAACGTCGCCATATCCCACTTCTGAATTCCGCGGAAATTCCAAATTTTCGCGTGCTGTTGCAGACACAAACGAGGCATGTTCGGTTGGTAACCACCGCGAATCACGCGACCTATCTATTACTGAATTTAAAAAAAAAAAAAACGCGAAAAATATACACCCGAAACAATCAATCGAATGGCGTAATATCGTTCGAATAGCAAAGGGAAATTCGGCAATTGCGCCTCTCGTTATTATCTGTAAACTGCCACTATTTTGATGGCTGAATTGTCTACTAGTAGAGGGTCATTATTGTCTACTGTCACTATTTTTATATTCTGATCGTGATTCTATTCTGTGATTTTGTTAACTTGTGATTCTGTCACTCTGTCAATCTGTCAATCTGTCGTCTGTCAATCTGTCAATCTGTCAATCTGTCAATCTGTCAATCTGTCAATCTGTCAATCTGTCAATCTGTCAATCTGTCAATCTGTCAATCTGTCAATCTGTCAATCTGTCAATCTGTCAATCTGTCAATCTGTCAATCTGTCAATCTGTCAATCTGTCAATCTGTCAATATGTCATCTGTCATCTGTCATCTGCAACTGTCATCAAGCAACGGACACAAGTCAATTGGACACGTTTGCGTGTAGAAGTTTCACTTTCTGCCGGTTTCCGGTTATCGGATTGACGTACAAATAACGTCGGGGGGGGGCGGTTTCGGGGGTGGGTTTGTGTAGTCCGGATAGAGTTGCGGCGTATTTAAAACCGGCGGCGGCGCCGGCCGGTTTTTCGGCCGCCCGACGGCGTCGGCGGGGCGTCGGGACGCCGCTGGGTCGAGCGAAGGGCCGACGAGCACGCGAACCTATCGCTCTATCATTATCTCTAAACGATTAACAGCGGCGGTATCGCGAATTGTTTCCCGACAGAATGGTAAATAGAGCGGAGTTTAAAGGTAAACACTTTGTGTTTTTTTTTTTTTAAAGGGAATTAATTTGCCCTGTCCGCGTTCTATCCATCAAAATGGTTAGTAATGGAAGGGTTTCGTCGAAACGAATTTTTTTATATAGCTTTTTTGAAGGTATTTGTGAAATTGCATCTATAAAACTATTATCCTCTAATATCTGTAAAAAATCAATTATCAAACCTCAAGATCGTCATTTATCCAGTCAGGAAAGTCAATTATGTTCTGAATAGAGTCAATTATCTACTGACTAGTCAATTATCTACTCAAAATAGTAATTTATTCAGTGAGAAAAGTCAATTATCTCTCGAAGAGAGTCTGTAGAAGTAAGCAGAATCAATTATCACCTCAAGATCGTCATTTATCCAGTCAGGAAAGTCAATTATCTACTGAATAGAGTCAATTATGTTCTGAATAAAGTCAATTATCTATTGTTTAGTCAATAATCTACTCAAAATAGTAATTTCTTTAGTGAGAAAAGTCAATTATCTCTCGAAGAAAGTCTGTAGAAGTAAGCAGAATCAATTATCACCTCAAGATCGTCATTTATCCAGTCAGGAAAGTCAATTATCTACTGAATAGAGTCAATTATGTTCTGAATAAAGTCAATTATCTATTGTTTAGTCAATAATCTACTCAAAATAGTAATTTATTTAGTGAGAAAAGTCAATTATCTCTCGAAAAGAGTCTATAGAAGTAAGCAGAATCAATTATCACCTCAAGATCGTCATTTATCCAATCAGAAAAGTCAATAATCCACTGAATAGAATCAATTATCTACTCAAAATAACCACTTATATCTAGTTAAAAAAATTAATTATCTACCGAAATATAAATAGTTTACTTCGACAATGATTTTACCCCTGTATTATTCGAGCCGCTGTGGTCGATGCACTCGAGATATTAAACCGGCTCGTCCCGGAACGTTTCGCTCGAGATCCGGGAAAATAAATAAAAAAAAACACCGAGTTCGAAACTCGGTAAAATTCTCGAATTAATCCGATTCCTTGTAGAGGAAAAAAGGACGATAAAAGAGCCGCCATATTCATTCCGCGACGGCATTCCGGCCGCAATTAGGGTAATTTCGAGTGGGGGGGCCGTTTAAAAGTAAATTAGGGGGACCCGGAGGAACTGGAGGAACTGGAAAAATGTAAATAAACGTTATGTTTCAATTTAGAAATTTAGTTTTTCGAGGGTAATTTAATTGCGTTTGTCTTCCGGAGATTCGATTTAATTTGCACCGGTTAGATCTTTTATTTTATTCCTTTGGGAATCCCGGGGAGAATCGATTTTTGATTGGCGATTCGAAATAAAAAATAATGCCGATCATGACCCGTTGTTAAACGGATGATAAAATAATGTGCAGATTAATGTTGTTTTTGTAAGCGCATAAAAACTAACTGAATACAAATGGTAATTTTCGAAATATCGAAACCGCACGAAAAAACGGGATTTTGATTTATTTTACCGACAAAAAGCGTTATCGAACAATGGACGGGCGCTTTTTGTTTTGGGAAAATTGTTTTCGCTCAAAATATGTTATAATATCATACGATTTTTGCATATTGAATATTTTAATTCGCATATGGAATTCGAACAAAGTAGCAAAAATTCGAAAAAAACGCTATTGTAAATTATTCAAACCTGCTAGATATTCATCAACGTTCTATTTGACAACTGACATTTGAAAATCTCGCATACAGTTACAAAATAACAGTTAAAAAATCGTTACATCTTTATTATTCCTTTTCCAGTAAAGTGACATTTGAAAATTTCACAGTTACAAAACCGTTGCATCTCTATTATTCCATATGCAGTTAAGTGACATTTAGAAAAATTTCACAGTTACAAAATAACAGTTACATCTTTATTATTTCGTATCCAGTCACATCCCGGCAGTCGTCGTGTTAAATGGCAAGCTAAAGATCGAAGTGATCGGGGATTTTACTTTTTTTTTTTTTTTTGAAATTCGCATAAATCTCGCCCCTCTAGCGATGACGTATTCTATTTAAAGGCACAATGCGCGTCATCAATCAGCATACTGGATGTTGAAAAAGCGCCCGGTAAAAGCTCAACAAAAAGCCCTCACGTGTTCGATATTAATCTGACACTTTACCGGAAGAACCGATTTTTTCCATTCTCGCGGAAATTCCATCGCTCAGAATCCATTTTATTGGACGGATTTAAAAGAAAATAAAAAAAAAAACCACGCAAATTTCATTCGCAAAAATTTTATTAAACCAAACCATCCGCCTCCTGAGGCGCATTTTTATTACCCACATCCGCTCTATCCTCCAACAAAATCCTCTGGATCTCGATGAGGCTCTTACCTCTCGTCTCCGGCACGGCCAGCTTGATATACAACAGGGAAAACAAGGAAAACCCCGCGAAAACCGCGAAAGTCCAGCCCAACCCCAGCGCCATCTGGCTGTAAGGAAACACCAACGTCACCAGGAAATTCACCGCCGTCATCACCAGAGCCGTCAAAGTGCTCAAATGAGGCTTGAAACTCGGCGGGAAAATCTCACCGCACAACGTCCACGGTAGAGGCCCCGCTCCGATTTTATAAAACACTATATAACCCAAAACCGAAACGAACGGAACGAAAAAATACCCACTCATATCCACCTCGTAATCAATCAATATAAAATAACCTCCTAACACGATTAAAGACACCAACAAACCGATGTAAGATACATAGAGCAGTTGCTTCCTGCCCCATTTATCCACCAAACCGGTACTCCAATAAGTACCAACCAACTGTAAAATACTAATAACAATCACAGCCGTATCGCCGGGTATAACCTCGTTGGAACCATCCAGTATGCTCTGTTGGTACGCCACGATCGCAGGATTACCAACCAAACTCTGCAAACTCACCAAACCCAACGCTATGATCAAACACCTTCGCAGTAACTTCGATGATAAAACGCCTCCGATCGTTCGCTCCTGCTTCGATTCATCGCAAATCTCCACGATATCGATCAATTCCTTTTCGGTACTACCGGTCGCCCTCCACTTCTTCAACGTACTGCCAGCTTTATCGACTCTACCGTGCAACACGTAATGGTAGGGACTCTCCGGAACGAACCAACCGAAGCTCACCAGGAACACAATCGAAGCCACCAAAGTCACCACAGCTATCGCTCGAATGGATACAAAAGGTCCGATGGTGAGTACTAGAGTTTGCCCGGTGGTGAGCATCACCGAGTTGATCATGCTGGTGCGCCCGCGCGCGCCCGGCTCGGAAACCTCCCCCACGTAGGCGGGGATGACGGAGAAGACGCAGCCGGTGCCGATGCCGAGCAGGAAGCGGGCCAGGTAGAGGTGCTCCGCTCGATCGGCGAAGATGGTGATGATGCTGGAGAGGATCTGGGGCGCGGAGAACACCAGCAGGGTTTTCTTCTTGCCGATTCTGTTGGATGTGAAGCCGGTGAAGAGGGGCCCGGCGAGGGAGCCGAGCGCGTGCAGGGAGGTGATCCAGGTGGTTTGCTGCAGGGTGAGGGGCCGGCCCAAGGGGTTGTCGGGTAGAGGGGATTTTAGTTTGGGTATGCAGGGCGAGGACCAGGAGTAGCCGATGCCGGCGATGAACGCCATGAGGTTGACTGGAAATTAGGCTTATTGAGTTTGTTTGTAATGCGTTAAAATCTGTATAATCAAGCGGGCTTACCGGATATGCATGATAAATAGGTTCTGGTGTGGCTTCTTCGGGTTTCCATTGTGGCGGTTGATGCGCGAGGGATTTTGAGGAATTGGGTTTAGAATTTTTTGCGAAAAAAAAAAATTGTGTAAATGATATAATTAGCGATAAGATAATGACCAGACAGACAACAGTTGGATTAGAGTTAAATGATGTTCAAACAAAACACAATGGATTTCTAAGCTACTTTTTGTTACTGTACGAATGGAAAGTATTTTTGGGAATAATAGTATGTGCCAGTAGAGATTCGATTATCAATCCAAGCAAATCAATTATCTATCCCAGCAAGTTAATTATCTATTATTAAAAGTTAGAATGATCTATCCATGAAAGTCAATTATCCTGAATAGAGTCAATTATCAACTCAAGATTGTCATTAATGTAGTCGGAAAAGTCAATTATCTACTGAATAGTAAATTATCTACCTTAAATAGTTATTTATCTAGTTAGAAACGTCAATTTTCTCCTGAATAACCAATTATCTATTTCAAAGAGTCAATTATCTATCCATGAAAGTCAATTATCTATTCAAAATAAGCATTTATCTAGTTAGAAAAGTCAATTATCCTGAATAGACTCAATTATTAACTCAAGATGGTCATTAATGTAACCAGAAAAGTCAATTATCTCCTGAAAAGAGGCATTTATCTAGTGAATATTTAATTATATACAACAAATAGTTTTTTATCTAGTTAGAAAAATTAATTTTCTCCTGAATAACCAATTATCTAATTTCCTAAACAAATTCATCGCTAATTTCAAGATGGATATTTCCTCTAATGCAATATTCATCTATCATTAACTCCCCGATCATTTTTAAGTGCATTAATTATCGGTTAATAACCAATAAAATATTAAATCGAGTACGCCTTTTCGAAATGCATAAATTATTGCACTTTTTTCTACATTTAATGCATAATAATTTCGCCTGAAAAAAATTAGATTAGATTAAATCCGGGGGAAAGGAAACGTGGAAACATCCGGTAACAGGTTTCGACCATCATCAATTCTACACCGAAAAAAAATATACAAAATATTAAGCAATTAATCAATTCGATCGGTTTTAGCTTTTAACGCCCGACTAAAACGGTTAATAATAATTATTATCATTTTTAGCCGCGCTACAATCGATTTCCTAATATAATTCGAGGAGTACAAAATATTTGTAATAACAAAAAAAACCCACTTTCGGCCTCTTATTGATCGACAAAGCAGTTACGAGGCCTCCGACTGTTCGGTTAATCACCTAATTGAAAGTGTATGCCCATTTTTCACGGCGACTTGCCTATTTTTTTCCTATTCGCTATTTCCTCATTAATTAACCGCGTGATTTTCATACCGAACGCTCCCTCGATTCGTGATTCGAATCAATTACCAAAAAGCCTTATATATATTCATCTTAATGAGATTAGTCATAAGAAATTCGACTCGCCCCCTTTAAATTTCCATCCTTAAAGCTCCTCTACTTAGTCGCATAGACGAAACACGACCGAAACTTAGTAGATATTAGGCACACTGGAAATTCTACTTACTTCGACGTTAATAATTAATGCAAAAAACGAGGCGTAAACGAGGGAAATGTTAGGGATATATATTCGCAATGTTAATGAGTTGAGTGATGGTTGATTTTGCAGGAAAAGCTCCGAGAAAGAAAAGCGGTTTTGCGCTTACTGAAAATCTTGTTGTCTAACATAATGTACAGGGTGTTTCGTAATTTAATTGAGCGAATATTACGAAAATAATTTTTATTTCAATGTTAGGCAGTGGCGTACCATTTTTTTCTCCAACAATATTCTGAAGTATCGGCATTCAAATAATTAACACTCTGTATAACGTGTAATTAGTAAATAAACGATTAAAATATACTCAAAATATTTGTGAGAATGTCTCAAAAAATTGTGTTTTTTTTGTATATCCCTATACAGGGTGTTAATTAATAAGTGCGACCAAAGTGTAGACCGAATTACAACAAAATATCAAAAACAGTCTCAAATTGAACTTGGGAAAAGTTGTTTTAAACAACTGGTAAAAATTTAAAAAAATCTACTGCCTCAAAAAATGCTCATTAATAATTTAAAAGTGTGTACAAAATTTCATAAAAATATCTGGAGTAGGTAATAAGAAAATTTTGATAGAATAGTTAATTATTTTATAAACTTGTTCACCCTGTAGCTCGAAAACTAAGAGGTTTAGGACATACATTGATATAAACTTTTCTTCTTAAAATCATCCAAATATTCACATCCTGTATATACACTAAGACTTGCATCCAATTTGCGTTAATATTACCTTTATTTACGGTTTAACCACTGCATCTTAGGATCTGCCATTATTATTATTCCCGACATCCGGGTCAATCCGCAATTTTACCAATTGCACCGTTCCTTGGGGTAACTCGATTCGAGTTAATTCGCAAATTGAAGGGCCTCGAGCTTCGAGGGACAATTGATAGAGGCTCTCCCGTTGCAGCAAGAAATGCAAGGATTAGAGGGCGACATCAAAAGGCTGGTACATTTTCCTTCTGTACAGTTTTTTATTGCGATTTTAAAAGAAAAAAAATACGTCCCTGCGGATGGGTCCCGGCGGGACAGAAACGTCGTTTATATCGGGTCGATCTCTCGAATAAATCGACCGGGGCGCTCCTGAGGGTAGCACCCCTCGACTCCCTTTATCACCTCCCTTCCGCCCTTCTCTTTTTTCCTTATTTATTGGGCAGTAAAGCTCGCCTTATCTTTTATTGAAAGCTGCAGATACTGCAAAGGGTCTCCGGTGCACCGGAATCCCGCACTAAACATACAATAATCCCTTTTCGGGGTCGTACTTTATCCTCGAGAACTTTACCAAAATTCGTAGAAGAGAGTACATGAGAGTAGATGAGAGTAGATGAGAGTTGATGAGACTAGATGAGAGTAGTGTAGAGTAGATGAGAGTAGATTAAAGTAGATTAAAGTAGATTAAAGTAGATGAGAGTAGATGAGAGTAGATGAGAGTAGATGAGAGTAGATGAGAGTAGATAAGAGTAGATGAGAGTAGATGAGAGTAGATGAGAGTAGATGAGAGTAGATAATAGTAGATTAGAGTAGAGAGTAGAGTAATAGAAATTTTTTCCCTCTTTTAGTTCGATCCAAATCTCCTCTTCTTCAAACATTGCATTTTTCTTCTATCTCGTTACTTAAGGCGTCCCGTTTCGCGAGGAATTTGAGAGTAGATTAGAGTACAGATTAGAGTACCTACTAAAGATTTCTCACCTTATTATCCAATGCAATTCTCATCTCATTTAAACATTGCACATTTTCTCTTCCATCTCGTTAGGTAAACATATACAAAGTGTCCCATTTTGTGGGTGGATTTAAGCGGTTTTTTGGGACACGCTGTAGGCCCGACACACGCAACCTATATGAAATCTTAATTTCCATCCGCTTTATTGACCTTTAAATTATTCTCGCATCAAAGGCCCGTCCGTTATATCCCGCCCGGCAGACAATCCGGGTATAAATCTCGCTGGGCTCCGGGATATTCGTTTCGCTCCGTATTCGAAAGGAAAAGAGAATAAAAGATCGGGGAAAAATAAACGAGAAAAACGAGAAAAAAAACGCGCGTACACGCGAACAAACAAGACGCCCATAAAGTAATCCGATTCCCATTCGACTATTACCCGATGAATTTTTCATCTTCGATCGCATTTTCATCGCACTCTATCGATGGGTTTTACCCGCAACTCAATCGTTATTAACTTGTTAATTTGGCTAAAAAGTTATTGGGAAAAATCGCAATTTTTTTTTTATTTCAACTTTCTCACCCTTATTTCCAGTATTTTATCAAAGCAAAAGTTGGGTTAGATGGCCATATCTTGAGCTCGAGAATCTACCATTACTTACGAACCACCCTATATAATATTTAAAATTCCACCATGTATACATATAACGTTGAAATAAATCAAGGGTTTCGCTGATATTCGCGATATATTTTCCGAACTCCGCGAATAAACGATCTGTAGTTAACAAACAATAAGATATCCATAGAATTCGAGTCAAGAGATCCATCATATCGGGATAAATTGTAAGATAAACACGAGGAGAAAGTTTGCGTTATATCCAGACGGGGGTGAGATCAATGGCGTGTGGCGTTTTCTCCGGGAAACTCCGTTTTCTCCCGGAATTTTCGATCTGTTTGTCAGCCGCAAACAGATCGAGAGGTATCCAATCTCCAATCCTAGAAACAAGCGGTTCCACCCTGTATATATTTATAGAGGGTAGTTTTTTTTTATCCATAGAAAGTGAATCGAAATCAATTAAGACTCGGTCGAAGAGGGGCTTTCTCCTATTAAATCAATTCCCGGTTCGCCTGGACAAATCCCCACGGGGACGTTTCATCCCCCCAGTTCTCGTCCTACCCCAAGCCGGAATTTACTCGCAGGCTAAATTCCTGTTTGCTAATTCCTCGGGAAAATCCCGCTTGATAAATTGCGCTGCGTACTGCATGAAGAATCGATGCAAATCGAAGATGTATCCATCAGAATTTGAAAATTTTCGCTTTTAGATTCACTCGGAACTGTTCAAAACTATTTGAAACTGGAGCAGAATAGTTTAAAACCATTTTAGGACCACTAGCACCATCATTTATAAACCTTTCAGGAAATTTTGCAACTTTTAAAAGACTATTTAGAACTGTTCCAGAACAAATTAGCACTGTCGAGAATCAATTCTATTAATTTTTTACACTTACAAGGGCCTTTCGAAATAGTTTAGAACGATCTGGAAACTGTCCAAATTAATTTAGAACAGCTTCAGGACAATTTGTAACGGTCCAGGATACACTGGAATAGTTCAACACTATTTAGAAAGCTTGCAGGACTATTTGCAACAGTTCTTAAACTTTTAAAAGACTATTTAGAACCATTTAGAATTTTTCCAGAAGAAATTAGAACTATCGGGAATCATTTAGAACAATTTAGACCATTTGAAACGGTTCAGAACGATCTAGGAACTGTCGACAACTATCTAGAACGCTTTTTTTGGAATGTTTGAAATGCATTTAAAATCTAGCAAACTTAAAAAGAAAATATCTCCTATCCAGCGGTAACCGAGAGGCGTCTGGAAGAAGGAAAACTCCGGGAAACTCATCGACAAACGCGCCCCGGAGGAAAGTCTCCTAAAATGCCAAAAACTTAAACGATTTCATCGGAAGTATAATCGGCGATTTGCCCTTTACAAACGCAACCGGTTTTCTTAAATATGCCGCGATTTTCCGCCTTTACATCCGCACGAAACGCGGAAAACTACGCCGATAAATCGATCCCGAAAAGCGATCGGAAAAGCCGAAAAAATGCGACCTATTACTCGCGACTGTTGTTAGAGCACAAAGCATTTCGTTCGGCTGGGCCGGGGAAAATTACGAATCCGACACGGAAAAGCCATTTGAACGACAGGGAAATCTGCGCGATGACGTGTACCTGTTTATATTTCAATTATACGAAATCATTATCAACTCGAGCCCGAAGCCGAATCGGATTTCCATAAAGTGCATATAATGCCCGTCGCGCGGGATATATATACAGATATCCAGATATCCAGTTGTGTGCCCGGCGCGTGGATTTCCATTATTCACGAAACGGGAATTTCCAGTTCGACTCGTTAATGGTAATGACGGGTTAATTCGGTCGTTGGGTCGGTTTTTACCGGCGCCGTTCGCAGTAGGCTATGGCGAAATTTTTGACGAATCAGAAGTGGGATTTTGTTATTTTTTGTAATCGATTATGATGATAATCTAGCGGAAAATTGCAATACAAAATTAAACAATTGTCCTATGATTCATTGAGTAACTGTGGAAACTACATTTGGGAAAATCAGAAGTGGGATTATTGAATACAACCAACTAAATTAAACGAAAAAATCTAGTTAGTTAACTACAATATTATCCGTCTACTAAGTTAATCGCAATTCCTAGACTAGAGACTAGAGACTAGAGACTAGAGACTAGAGACTAGAGACTAGAGACTAAAATAAAGACTAATCTTTATGGGACACCCTGTATATAGTAACTGGTTGATTCCTGTGAAAAATCGGCTTTCTAATCCTTGAAATTATCCTTTTTCCGAGCGGGCCGGAGTGATATTGGAAAAAAATGGCCGATATCTAATGGCCGGGCAAACTGTTTCCCGGTTGTTTGCTTATGGAAATCGAGGAATTGATGGCCGAAATGCCGGAGCATTTGCATTCGAATCTGCTGCTGGAAAATATGAGAAAAAAAAAATTAATGCTCGTCGTAAAAATGTTTTTTGTTACCGCCTAATTTAATCAAAACAATGTAAGTTTTCGCAGCGTTACGGCCGAAAGCGTGGAGTCTATAAAATGGAAAAAATTCGCCAAAAGCTAGACAATCATTGGCGGGGGCTTTTCTAGGGAAGTTTGTCGAAGGAATAGATGTAAGTTCTATAGCTTCTCCGAATAATTCAAAATAAGCTTATACGAGGGACAATCGATACATTCTCGCTAATACCCTGGTCGATCGCCGTCAGAGGGCGCCGCTGTGTCGGCGTAAATTCGAAAGGCGAGCAAAGTAAATTTTTGATGCGTTTTCCGGGCGAGCTCCATAAAACTTATTCGAGGATTTGTTATTTATTTTCGAGCGAGCGTTACTCGCGAATATGAACTTTTATCGTTATCTCCCGGCTCTCTGGAAAGCACATTTCCACCGGTTTTCCCATCCGGTGCATTGTAGTTGTCCTAACGCAATAAAGCCATCGCGGAAAACTCCCGGAGAAACGCTTTTTATCGGGATCTTTACATCGATATATATACAAGGAGGGACTTAACTCACTGATTCGTATTATATTTATTTGACCGCCCTGTGTATGTAGATTTGATTACAGGGTATTAATGAATTGAATGCCGATACTTCAGGATGTGAATATTTGGATGATTATAAGAAGAAAAGTTTATATCAATGTATGTCCTAAACCTCGTAGTTTTTCGAGCTACAGGGTGCTAAAATTTTAGAAAAAAAAACTTTTCTATCATAATTTTCTTATTACGGCAGATATTTTTATGAAATTTCGCACGTGGACGTCACTGATAATAGTAGAAAATTAATTTTTATCCCCAAAAAAAAGTGTTTTCATGCATGGTGGGCGCCTATCAAATTTCAACAAAATATAAAAAGTAATCTCAAATAAACTTGGGAAAAAATTGTTTTGGTTTTTATTTTTTTTCGCGAAAATGGGGCGTCTTACGAAAATAAGTCTTCTGACCGAATTTGCTACAAAATAAATGAGGATTTTAAAAATAATTTTAGTTTTTAGAAAAAGCAGTGGTGTACCATTTTTTTTCCAACATATTCAGTTCAAACCCCGTACGGACGTCACTGGTGAAAATTTAAAAAAATCTTACGACTCAAAAAATGCCCCTTAATAATTAAAAAGTGTATACAAAATTTCTTAAAAATAATTGGAGTAATAAGAAAATTATGATAGAAAAGTTATTTTTTCTTCTACAATTTTAACACCATGTAGCTCGAAAACTAAGAGGTTTAGGACAAACAGTGATATAAACTTTTCTTCTTAAAATCATCCAAATATTCATATCCTAAAGTATCGACATTCAATTAATTAACAACTGGCTCACTGTGTATTATTCTGTTGTGAATATTTATGAAATATCCTCATTTCTGGATAGAGAAAAGCGGTCGATTTTCCACGGAAAGGTCGCATGATTGAACAAAAGTTGCCCTTTGACTTTCGCCTTCTACATACAATCAAAGAGGTGTTTAATTCGTTCCGAGCGACGATAAAAAAGCCTCGAGCGCGTGAGAAAATAACAGTAATAAAAGCTTCCCGACTCGACGGGAAAATTACCACCACCGCAAACTTATAGATTTTTTTTACCCACCATCGATATAACCAGAATTACGGTATACACAAAGACACTCTATTAAGACGGTAACCGGTTAACTGCATCGCGGAAAATGTATTTTCCATGCCGAGCCGGGTGATGGTTTATCGCGCTTTTCCGGCGAAAACATGTTGCCCGCCGCCGGGCGAGATTCTTCCATTTATCATGCCGGAAAATCCTACACGGCTTTTCAGCGAAACGCTTGTACACCGTAAACATCCCTTCGCTGGATGGCCCCCTTTCGGAGCATAAGGTGTTACAAGGGGTTGCTCATAGTCCGGGGGATTAAACTAACATTTTATTCACCTAATAATAATGTATAAAAATTAAGCAAGCTTCATCTAGTGTTGTAGTTTTATGCCCAGTTGTAACAAAGCATCATATGAATGGATGAATTCTTATTGTAAGTTAGAGCTAAAGTGTAAAATTAATTTTATACTGTTGGACCAATTAAAAAATCTCTTTAGTGTGATACGAATCGATCACAGATCGATTTCTACGCTTTAAGACGAAAATGTTAATCTCAAAAATTTGGGGTAGGCAGTTGTAAAATTCTGGATATAAATGCAGATATAACTATTGTGGTTAATGTAGATAAAATAGATGATGTAGAGGATGAAATTAATGAAGTAGATATTTCTATGCAATGACAAATTTGAAAAGGAACTAATTATTTTGAAACATTCTTGGAGGAAGAATTTTTCGTCTGCAATAAAGAACGTCCCTGCAATAATTTAATGTTAATTATAAATGTACTAATTTCTATCTTACAGTTTACAGAATATATGTTAAAACCACAACTTCTTTTTTATCTTTTTTTACTTGCCCCAACAACTGATAGGTTATTTCAACACTTAAAATAACAATCATCTCCTTCTTTACAAGTTTCTCAACAATATTCTTAAGTTACCAGTTTTTATCTAAGTTAAAATGGATCCTAACTCATAGGGGTGGCTTTTACCACCGGACTAAAACGTCGCGGGGGCTAATAACTTAATTTATAAACGGAAATAACGCGTCGCCGTATTCATTACCGAGCGGATTGCGTTCGCAATAGAGACGCCCTTAATTAACAAATCAAACAATAGTGACGACGACAAAGTTGTCGCGTTCGCGTTAAATGGCTTGTTTAATTTAATGAGTACGATAGAGAAACACACACACACACACACACACACACTACTAACACATAGACACAAGCCGGTTATCCGGAGGATTCCCCGGAGGATGCCTCGTACGTTTGTTTTACTATCAAAATTGAGGAATCTCCTGTAATTTGCTCGCTGGAATTAACTTCATCATCTACTATCACAATCAGGTCGTTACCAGTACTAAAATTTTCTACTAAAACAACTTCCTGGTGGATCTAATGTAATACAACAGCACTACTAGTACTACCAGTTCATTAACCAGTCCAGGAAGCTCCTGGACTGATGGATAAGCTATCAAGCCGTTACCAGTAATAAAATTTTCTACTAAAAGAACTTCCTGGTGGATCTAATGTAATACAACAGCACTACTAGTACTACCAGTTCATTAGCCAGTGCAGGAAGCTCTTGAACTGATGAAAATGCTAGGGCAGTTGTGGAACTACCAAGCAGTTGGTTAGAAAAGATAGCAGGACTACTAACTGGCCATTGTTGTCTAAGAAAACACTTCTATAACCTGTTGAGACAAAAGTCCCCTTTACAAGGCTGATGAAACATCAAACAATTTCCTTCTAGAGTGTCAGAATCTTCGGAATCACTGGAGATACAAACAGGCTTCCATTGAAAAAGACTGAGGGCTTCATCGAGGCACTTCTAATGAAACATCCATCAAACAATGTTCTTCTAGAGTGTCAGAATCTTTGGAATCACTGGAGATACAAACAGGCTTCCATTAAAAAGCACTGAGGACTTCATCGAGGCTCTCCATGGATGCATAAGTCAACAGGAAAGCCACCAACAGACCCGCTGGGAGCCTCAGTACCTGAACCTTGCCTTGATCTCTCTCGGTTACAGTAGCACTAATAGTAGCATTATCAGTGAAACTTTACAATTTGCTGTTTCCACTCAAAACCTCGCGAACCAACTGGACACTGTGCAAAGCCGTTCCGGGAGCTGCAGTGACTCCGTAACCGCCGTGTCCGTAATTGTGCACCAGCTTCACGGGTTTCCCGTTGAGACTCCTGGTGATTTCGCATTCGACTCTCACCGGTTTCCTATAAGGCCTCAATCCCACTAAAGTTTTGATGGTTGAGGCCGGTTTGAGGCTAGGCACGAGGTTCTCGCAACGCTCGCGTATGCCTAGAGCGGTGTATTTATCGACGTCTAGGTTGTAGGAGCCCAGTTCCCTGCAACCGCCTAGAGTCACCGACTTGAAGCCCGGTATGATGTAGGTTTCGGTGTCGGCGTAGAAGAAGGTTTTTATCCAAGGCGCGTCGACCTGTGCGAGGTTTGTAAATAGGTTTAGGTTGGTTTGTATGGGAGGTTCGAGACGTTACCTTGATCACTTGACCTCTAACGGGCACGAGAGCGTCGTCGTTGCAGAGCGTTTGAGCTCCCAGGCCGGTGCAATTGACGATTACATCGTAATTGCTTCCGAGTCGTTGGAGATTCGTGATGTGCTCGTGGAGTATTTCGCCGCCTAATTGTCGGAAGTTTTTCATCGCCCACGGTAGGTAAATGGTGTTGTCTATTAGTAGAGTGGTGTAAAATGAGCCGAACTTCCATTTCTGAGGTGTTAGATTGCTCAGTTCCTCTTCGGTAGCTGATCTGTACATCGGTACTAATTTCTCCAAATGGGCGTTCTAAAATAAGGAGTTTCTTGGTGTATATCATGGAGGAGATTAACTTTACTAACTTACTCTCACTACTTTTTCTGATCGATTCGAAAACATGTACCCGGATAATTCTGTTACTCCGCATTCAGCTCCGTTTCGGCTCTCTTGCAGCTCCTTCCAGTACCACCAGGAGTCTTCTATCCACTTCCTGGTGCACCAAGTGATAGTATACTTCAATTTTTACTATTTGTTAACCAAATACTCACCTGGTAACATCTCGGTTGGGGCCAGTGAAGTCTCCACCGGGTCGGAATATTCCCGCCGCCACTGAGCTGGTGGTGTCCTCTTCGAAGGCATCGCTGATTAGGGTTATGTTGGCGTTTCTGAAGCGTTTTTTCAGCTCGACGGCCGTCGTGACGCCCACGACGCCCGCCCCCGCGACCGCTATGTTCATTTTTTTGAATGTTTTACTGTGTTCTATTTGAATGCTGCGAGGCGATGGCTATTTATAAACGTGTTGTTCGGTTGTATGGCGAGGAGAAAGGTCGATTTTAATTGGACGTAATTGTGTAACGAGTATACAGGGCGATTCGGAAATTCACGAGGTGGTTTTTGTGATGATGATTAGAGTCAAATCGCGAAGTAGTCTCACTTTGATCACTTAAATCAGAAACATCTTGTATAATTTTATTGCGAAACACCATTTATTTGTCGACAACATTGCGTTATCTTATCTATAGTGGAAAATAAACATGACATTTGCGTTTGTTTAATGCATTTATTTCGAAAATATTTTGTTCAAATGTAAGCTGATCGGGGGTTAGAAAGAAAAAAGGGATTATTATCGCCGGCCTCTTTCCGTGGAAAGTGTAAAAAATTGATGGGAGGCGGCAGGCCGCATCGATTTTCCATTTACATAGTTCGAGTGAAATATTCAAGAGCAAGGAGCTCGAGTTGGCGTTGGAATTTCACCTCTGTTCGGGGGAATACCCTAATATATAGACACATTTTTCGATACACCCTGTATGCTGTAGATTCTGTGTAATGTAGATTCAATTTTTCCCTTGAGAATTTCAAATTCTTCATCTTTATCACTTTTTTAGTTTCTATTCTTATGAAATTTGCATTAATTTGCTCATTTTTCACATGAAAATTTCAATTTTTTCACTCTTCTTCACTCTTTTAGTCTCTATTTTTATGAAATTTGCATCAATTTGCTCATTTTTCACATGACAAATTCAAATTTTTACTCTTTTTCACACTTTTAGTCTATTTTTATGAAATTTGCATCAACTTGCTCATTTTTCACATGAAAATTTCAAATTTTCCACTATTTTTCACTCTTTTATTCTCCATTTTTGCCATATTTGCATCAATATTAGCACCAAATACCTCGAGTTGGCGTTGGAATTTCACCTCTACATCGCCGGGGAATACCCTATGTACATTTTTCTACACACCCTGTAGCTATACCATTCCTTCCACTTCTACATCAACGCTCGTTCGATTGTACAACGCAAAAATTAGAGAGTTACAGGCGACTTTGTAGATTCAATTAGGGCGCTTTAAGAACGCCGCAATTGTCTTTCTTCGGCGGTTGGGCCGAGATCAAAGAGCGCCTTGCACGTCCATTACACCGGCTTAATGGCCGCTCGCCAGTTGCCGGGAGAATTAGATTTTCGCTGTTTAAGGGCCATTAGAAGTGACCGCATAACTCCTTTATCATCCTCACGAATAATCCGGCCTCTAACACCGAATTCGAAACACTATTTTAATTTTTTCATTGTAGAGTTGACGGGTGAATCGAGAGTTGAAGATGATTTTTTTTGCGGTTGTTTTCCAGCGCATTCCGCGATGGGAGAAACTCGAACGCGATTGCCGGTAAAGCCGGCGGGAAATATCCGGATTTTATAGAGCTGAAGTTTACGCGAAGCGGAAAATGGCCGGATTATAAACCGAGCAATTGAAAATATCCAAAAAAAAAAAGTATTCGATCCGGTTGCACAGATTCGAACGTTTTAATTTTATTGTATTTATTACATGGGCTCGAATCGAGCGGAAAATAAAACGCAATAACATCGACTTCTAACGCTAATAAAATAATAGTTTTTCCGAAGAAATCGGTCGGGCGCGTAGCCACTGCCCGGCCGATATAAAATAAATCCACGGCTGGCTGGATGTTCGAGCAATCCGGTGTGTCACGTTAAGTGACAGTAAGCCAATGAGATATACCGGAACTCCTCGATAGTATCGATCCTGGTGCGATGTCCTTAAGGATAAAGGCTTCGGGGATTTCTCGGGAAGTTTTTCCGGTGTTGGTGCAAGTGTTGTTGTAATTGGGCTATTAGTCATGCGGGTGTGAAGTTTGGAATGTAAAGGAAGAAAATTTTGTTGGAAGTATATGCGAATATAAAAAGGTTTAGGCATCATTGCATTTAGAGTTGTGTTTCGTCATTTTTATTCTCGTTTTTCGGTGTATTAATTTTTAATTAATTTCAAATTTCAAATTTTTCACTCTAATTCACTCTTTTTTTCTCTATTTTATCAAATTTGCTCTAATTTGCTCCATTTCACTTGGGAATTTCAAATTCTTCATATTTTTCACTCTTTTAGTCTCTATTTTTATGAAATTTGCATCAATTTGCTCATTTTTCACATGAAAATTTCAAATCTTTCACTCTAATTCACTCTCTTTTTCTCTATTTTATTAAACTTGCATTAATTTGCTCATTTTTCACTTGAGAATTTCAAATTCTTCATCTTTTTCACTCTTTTAGTCTCTATTTTTATAAAATTTGCATCAATTTGCTCATTTTTCATATGAAAATTTCAAATCTTTCACTCAAATTCACTCTCTTCTTCTCTATTTTATTAAACTTGCATTAATTTGCTCATTTTTCACTTGAGAATTTCAAATTCTTCATATTTCTCACTCTTTTAGTCTCTATTTTTATAAAATTTGCATCAATTTGCTCATTTTTCACATGAAAATTTCAAATTTTTCACTCTTTTTAACTCTTTTAGTCTCTATTTTTATAAAATTTGCATCAATTTGCTCATTTTTCACATAAAAATTTCAAATTTTTCACTCTAATTCCCTCTCTTTTTCTCTATTTTATCAAATTTGCATAAATTTAATCATTTTTTCCTCGAGAATTTCGAATTCTTCATCTTTTTCAAAGTTTTATCATCTATTTTTATAAAATTTGCTCATTTTTTCACATGAAAACTTCAAATTCTTCAGTATTTTTTACTGTCTTTTTCTCTATTCTTATAAAATTTGCTCATTTTCACCTTGAAAATTTCAAATCTTTCACTCTCATTCACTCTTTTTTTTCTTTATTTAGAAATTTTGAAGATACTCATTTAGCTAAAATCTCCGGAACTAACTGAGTATAATTAACATTACTCAAAAAATGCGAAATATTCCTCGAAATTCACACTGTATACGAATTTTTTGTACCATAACAATTCGATTCGAAACGACATTTGTTCGAACTCGATCCATTTGAAATTCAAACCGTTCGCCAGACATAACGTAGCGGAATATTCGTTTTATAAGAGATAAAGTTCAGGAATTACTTTTCCATGCAGTCACTTTCCGGGCGAAATTTATGCGAGTTTAACATTTTTCTTCTTCTTTAAATAGGTAGTTCGGAGTGGAAAGCAAGAAAAACTCTGTGGATATATCTGTGGACGAAACGTTTGTTATACGGGAGTTTTTCGGACCAATTTCCACACTTTCCCGTTAGTTTATATTAGACAATTCCACAGCGGATACTTCGCTAATACTAATTTTTGTTGTTCCTAAAAATGTCTATTATAGAAAATCCATTTTCGTGCCAGAAATAACATGGATTGTCGGAAATTAAATAGACAGTATTTTTTGAAATTTTCTCTACAACATGCAATTCGAATAAACGAACCGGTTTGGTCAGGTCACGCGAATCCACAGCGTATTATTTCTTATTTAAATACATATTCTGCATTAAAAACTATCTATTGCAGTAAAATTAATTATTAGAGTCTAATTAGACTGTTTAAATCTATTTATTAGGCTCATTTAATGTTCTAAATTGGATAAACATTGCAGATAAGTTTAGTAAAAACAAGTATAATAGTCCATAGAAGAGTCTAAAAATAAATTCGAAACTCCTTAAATTTGTACAGAAAATTAAATTTCTTTTTTTTTTGTTAGCCCGGCTTCCTCGGCATTTCGAAACTCCGACGGAATTTTCCGAAAAGTTGTTTATTCAATATTACCTACCGGGCGAAAAAATGAAAAACCCCTCCGAAAACACTTCGGGCTTTATTAAAAGTTTCCCGGAGCTCCGCGATTTTCCGGGCGCGCTTTCCCCGCATTTTTCCACTAAATAATTCGCCACTATCGCAGGAAGGCCATAGAAAAAAACACGATTTTCCAATCGCCTTTTATTATCACTTTTTTTCTCTATTGTAGACTCATTATTCTACTATTCAATAGATTATTTATTCTACTCGTATACACTTCATTAGACTCTTCCTTAGACTCTTCCTTAGACTCTTCCTTAGACTCTTCCTTAGACTCTTCCTTAGACTCTTCCTTAGACTCTTCCTTAGACTCTTCCTTAGACTCTTCCTTAGATTCTTTCTTAAACTCTTTCTTAAACCCTTCCTTAAAGTCTTTCTTAGACTCTTCCTTAGACTCTTCCTTAGACTCTTCCTTAGACTCTTACTTGGACTCTTCATAAGCCTCTTTCATAGACTCTTCCTTAGACTCTTTCTTAGACTCTTCTTTAAACCACTCTTTCTTAGACTCTTCCTTAGATTCTTCCTTAGACTTTTCATAAGCCTCTTTCATAGACTCTTTATTAGACTCTTCATTATTCACTTTTTTATATACCTAATTAACTCTGTTTTTTTTGTTTCTATTGAAGATTTTAATAATAATTCGCGAATAATAAACGTTCATTAGTCGAATGAAGTAAGTCGATTTGTTTTCGGGAGGTTTGTTTTCACTTAAAGGCGATTTTCCTCCGGGAGAACAAACGTTGAAGCGACGAGAGCTTTCCATCCGGGGGGGGAGGGTTAGAGAGAATTCGAATCCGGGACCAGAGAGAGGATTTTCCGATTGAAAAGCGCTTTTCCGGGCTCGCCTTAGACGCGACGTAACGTTCATTTTCTTTTAATTATATTAGAGCGTACGGACTGCTCGAGTAATTAATTTCGTTTCGATGTTATTCGCGCGAAATTGCATTATTTGGAGAATTATCCGACGAATGGGTAAACTGTCGTGTTTATTTAAAAGGGGAAAATACCTGTTTTAGAATCGGACTTTTATTGTGAATTACTGCCGGCTCGATTCGCCGGGAATTAATGAAATATTTCATTTGAATGTTGAAGGACGTTTTTGAAATGTTTATTTTTTTTTTTTTGTTTGTTTTGTGAAGACGATTAGAAAATTGCTAAGAGTCA